ATTAGTCTATTTATTTAAATAAAAAATATAATTTAAATTAGTTTTTAGACAAAAAGTTGTTTAAAAATTAAATATTTATAATTGATTTAAATACTAGTATGACAAATACAATTATTAATTTATTTTTTAAATAAATTAAAATAAATTTTAATTTTTTTTATATTATGAATAATTCTATATATTAAACGTGTTATTATTACTTGATATAAATACAATACAAATAGTATAATATCTTAATCATATTTGACATAATTAAAACACAAAATACGATTACACTAAATTTATATATAATTTTTTTCATATTACTTTCCTGTTATGTGTAAAATTATTAGATCTAACTATTATAATAAATAATTTTATTATCATTAATATTTTTAATCTTCCGTACATCTAAATAAAAGTTAAGTTACTACAAAAGCCTGCCCCATTAATGTAGGCCTGAAGAAAAATTTTTGAAGCTAGCCGTTATAAAACTGACGGCTCTGCCAACGGTAAAAAATGCAGGGCATTTCAAATTTTCAAATCTACTTCCAACGGTCACTTGAGTTTCAGTTTTCTTCTTTCTTCCTCTCCCTCCAAATTAACAGAAAATAAAAACTTCAAGAAAAACATTTCCAATCAAAACACAACGAGAAAAAACAAAAGGCAAAAGAAAAGATGAAAGGGCCTGCGAAAAAAGTCTTTTTTTCGTCTGCTCCTATCAAATCATCTGCATCTCCCAAAGGTAAACTTTCCTTTTCTTTCTACTTATCTCTGTGTTTTGTTTTTGTTTCCCCTAATATAAGTTAGAATCTTCGATTTGGTATTCTTTTTTTTTTTTTGTTTTAATTGTTTTAAGTTTGGAATTTTTTATAGGTTCAGATGAGAATGATAGAAGCAATCACGTAATGGGTTTGAATTTGCAAAACCCAAAGAAACATACTGTGAAGAATTTCATGTCACCAACTGTTTCTGCAGTTTCAAAGACCACTTTTCCAAGAAAGAAAATCTTAGCTGAAAAAAATGAATCTCTTGGATCTAATTCTTCCAACACCCATCTCTCAGAAACCCAAAATCTTGATTCAAAACCCTCACCAAAGACCATTCCAAAAGCTTCACCGAAGAATTCCCCAAATCTTGATTCCAAAGTCAATTCTAAGAAGTCTTCTTCTCAGAAGACACCATTATCATACAATTCCAGGGATGAGACACCTTCACCAAGGCCTTATGACCCCTTAACGAATTACCTTTCACCAAGGCCTCAGTTCCTAAGGTATAATCCTAGTAGGCGAAAAGAGATCTTTTTACGCCTTGAAATAGAAGACAAAGAAGGAGATAATGAGTTGAGTGTCAGTAGCACTGCTTCTTTTGATTCCAAGAAAGCTGCTGGTGATGAAGCTGATAGTGACAATTCTTCTTCGGCATCTTGTTTTTCAGAAGAAGATGAGGAATTTGATACTGAAAGTGATGAAGAGGAAGAGGAGGAAGTAGGATGGAGTTTGAGAGGGGTGTTGAAATATCTGCTTTTATTGGTTGTATTAGTACTAACTACATCATATATTTCCTCCATGAATTCTCCAACCTCTGCACGAGCTTTTGAGGGTCTTACACTTGGTTATCAAACGATTCAAAATCACTCGCATGGAATTTTTGAGAGTGTTGAGGTTGGATATAAGTTCTTTGATAGAAAAAAGGAACGGTTGGGTTTATTGGGCTTAAAGCAAGCTATTGTAGCCGCGGGGATTGAGGAAGAGATGGCTGAAAATGTTAACATGGGAGAAATAGTTAGCTTGGAGCTAGATGATAGAAATGTTGAATCTGTAGAGATGGTTAAAGAAGTAAAGAAAGATGGAAAAAGTGATGATGCTCGTGAAGAAGAATTGATTAAAAGTGGAGAATCTTCTGACCTGTTTGCTGAGTATGTTGAGTTGCAGGGGAAAGAAACTCTGGAAAAGATTGAAGTAGGGAAGGCTGAAGATGGAAAGGGAAATGGAGAAACTGAAGATGTAATTGAAGATGAATTGGTGAAAACAGGAAACATCTCTGACCAGCTTGTCGAGTATATTGAGTTGCAGGAAAGAGAAGAAAGTGGGGAACAGATTGAAGACGTAGAGAAAGTTGAAGAAGTAAAAGAAAATGAAGAACGTCAAGATGTAATTGAAAAGGCATTGGTGAAAACAGGAGAAGTTTCTGATCAGATGGTTGTGGATATTGAACTGCTGGGACGAGAAACTGCAGGAGAGATTGAATTCTTACAAGGTGATCAGGCATGTCTGTTGTCTGAAGGGACTGATCATCAGGAGGCTGCATCTCACACAACAGATTCTTCAGAGATAGAAAAGGTGGTTTCAAAGGAGTCAGAAGAAGAAATTCACAACGAAGCCAGAGATAAGGATATGGTTCAAGGCAAAAATTTACGATTTGGAAATGCCATAAGCATGGCAAGTGCAATTACTATTCTCGAGAAGTGGGGCAAATATCCTACTCTCAAATTTGAAGAAGTTAATCCAATAAAGGGGTTCAAGTTCAACCAGCACATGGGAACTGAAATACTTCTCAAAGTTATGTTTGGGATTTTAACATGCGCTGCTATTGTTGTATCTTTGGTATTGGGATCCAATATTAGGAGAAAAGGAATTGCATCAAAGCATTCTTCTCTGGTGGTTAAGCATTCGACCAAACCTGTTGTGAAGGAGAAACCAAGTTTGGTGCTTCCTGCTAAGAGAGAGGAGCACAAAATGCATGTTAATTCTTTTTTGAGCACCATGCCCTTGATTAGCTCTGCGGACAAAGATATTAAAGAAACTTACCGAAGGGGAGCACCTTCAGTTGAGTTGCTTGGTGAGTTTGAGGTGGGAGCAATTAGCAGCTCTCTTAAGAGTTGTGCTATAAAATGCAGAATGAAAGATGAAGTAAGGAGCGATTCTGATTTTCTGGAAAAGGTTTTGAGGATCAAGGCTTATTCAGCTCCGGTTCAGGATCAACAAGATTTCTCAGAATTCTATGCCGTCAATTCAAGTTCATCTGAAAGATTGACTGCCAGGAAGAAACTTTTGAGGAAGGAGTTAGGAAACGATGACATGGTATGCTTTTTCCTCTATTTTCGTTCAACTATATTTAGCATTATTATCTCTGGGACTCTTTTGCTTTTTTATGTATCATCATAGTCTGAAACTATAACTACTATGTCTAACTCGGTTTCAGATTTTTTTTGGTCAAGTCCTGACAGATAATTCCACATACATAACTACATGATTATCTTATCTCTGCCAGACATTCTCATTTAGTCGTTCAGGACCACAGTTGCTGAAATCCTGTGTTATATTTTGTTTTAGATGCAAAATATTGCTGAAATCCTGTGTTATACACAAACATTGCTTAAGGCATATTTTTTTCCAGGGACTATTCAAACAAAACACCTTTGTTTTTAATAAGGTTTTTGAATTGGAATCTTATTTTGTTTGTGTTGCAACAGGCAGGAGTGGATGGAGAAGGGAGGAATAACATGGTCACAACTCCACTGAGGCGATCAGCCAGAATCCACAAACGTGCAGTTGTATCTCCATGAAGTCAGTGAAGACATTGATATTCTTAAAGTTGAGCCTATCAGAAACAGCATCTCTGTTGTTTCATGTAGCATCCACTCTCCAGGAAACTAATGTAGAATTAGAATTTCGCTGTCTAATGCCTCCTTCTGACTGTAGATCATTGTAAGACAAATCATCGGTTACTTGCATTTTCTTTTTAACAATCACTATATCACCTTTATCATATTAATTAATGTTTCTTAATGCACCAATAGTGATAAAGATTGTTGTAGTTCTGGCTTTGAAGTGGATTTCATTTGAAGCAGATAATATTGAAAAGTGTAGTAGTAGTGGTATGCTACTAGTGTAAGAGTTACATATTTTTTTATTCTTAAATCCAATTAAATCTATAATACTTACCCTTAGCCACTTTGATTCAAAGGTTAAAAAAATGTGTAATTACGCTAGTATAAATGATCCCTCCTCATATAATTAATAAGAGATTTTAGTATGCTGCTTAAAATGGACATGGATATAGGGACACCCTGTAAGAATATTCGATTAACCATTATTCGAAGAAAGAAAACCTTTCCATCAGGTGTTCATGAGACCGCATAACTATTGAATCTAACCTGGAATATGGAATACATGCTTGTTAAGCGCGCGCGCGCACATATATATATATATATATATATATGCAGTCTAAATGAAGGAGATGTTATCATCATCTAAAGAGTTGAACGCTTCTTAGAGAAGTGTAGAATTAGCAGTAATTATGAACTTTAATGGTTCATTCATAAGAAAAGAATTAATTTTTTTTAACAAAGGAGGCCAAGGCTTAAGAGAAACTAGGAAGAGAAAATTTGCAAATGCTGAAGATAGAATCTCTGCCTTGCAGCAACCTCTTAAGGATCGAATCCCAGGTTAAGAAAGATTGCCAATAAAAACAAGTGGATTTGGAAGAGTGCTAAACTCTTATTCGACTGACCAGGGTCAAAACCAGCCTTAAATACCAAGAAAAAAAAAAATCTCAAGTGGACTGGAGACCATCTTTCAGAGCTTAAGTGGCCACTATGTCGGTTATTCTAGGTCGCATAAGAAAGACAATTCACACTTAGAAAAGGGATCAATCTTCATTGCCATGAGTAGTTAGAGATTCAATGGGTAGACTCATAGCCTATCCTAGAAAAGACGATGGCAAGAAGGAGCCTATCATAACTCAAACATAGTTACCATGCAGAAATGCTACGAACTCAACCATGGGATTCAAGTTTTATAAGTTGGGAAACTTTGCTAGATGACATAAATTCCTGAAATCCCATTTTTCAGATTCTGGAAACATTGAGCCAATATATTGATAATTGTATATGGTTTAGGCTGGATAGATGCGTTCAAGAATATTATACTCAAAGGATTAAGCTGCAATTAACAACATATATATATATATATATATATTAAACCTTGATGTATTAGGAAAGGTTCAAAATACCAAAATTTAGTGTCCACTAATTGGAATTATGCCTTCTAACTTTCCATAAAAAAATAGTCAAATAGACTTTTGACTACAGATTTGATTATCAGTTCATCACCAAACCATGCGCGCAAATTCTTTACAAAATCTGCAACGGGAAAAAATAAATTTCCGTGTTGCAGTGAATGGTGAATCATGCATGCAACTTCGGATAATCCTCATGAACAGATCAAAAGTTCTTTTGTACAGGAATTAAAGGAACCTGCTTCTCGATAAACTACCTGAACTCCTGCCTGGAAAAGATAAGGATGACAGAATTTCTCGAGAATTTCTTTGAGATGGTGGCTCTTGGAAGAGTGTACAATTTGTGGCTATCCAACCCACCCCCATAGCTTTTACATGCTTTCATTTTCTTTCTGTAAGGACTTTCTTTCTTTGCAAGTTCCTCTATGCTTTTTACACTTGAAAGGGATGTAAAAGACTCAGACTTGCCATGGAAATACTTGGAAAGTCCTCTCCTGCACAAACACAAGCAAAACCTTCAGCAAGAAGATCTACTTTTGTGGACTTACACAAATGAATAAATATACGTCAAAGAGAAGCTGACGCGCATTCAAACGGGACAGTTGGGTGTTTATAGACACTCCAAAAGTTGAAAAATAAAAAAATTTGAAAGAAAGTTTCACACCTCCAAAAATTTCCCTTCACACCATTGACTTCATTTTAGTGGTTAAAATTGGTAAATCCATTTGTCCCTGGAGAGAAAGGAAGGCAACCTTTCCATACTACAACTAAGATGTTTTAGATCAATCCAGAAAAGTTCATAGTTTAGAAAATTCTAAATTTGGATATTAACAATTTCAAGAGTGAAAGAAGACAAGAAGATCTATCTGTTAACTGGTTCTGAAATCTTCACAACAAGGCCTTCCCATTACTATTAAAAATATGGGAGCATATCACCTATACTTACTTGATGGGAAGTTGGGCCATGAGCTCTGACAATTCATATAAAGGTCCGTTAAGGCAATTGGTGGAAGAAGAATTTGAGGTTGATGAAGATGCATCATCTACGAAGTCTGATGAAGAAGTTACTGATCCCTGAGAAGTTCTTGAATGTTCCCCCAGGGATGATTCAGAAGTTGTAGTTACATCATCATCATCACCATCATCTTCCATGTTCAACAAATGATGATCTCCATGTTCCTGATCGTGCTTATCCTTCTTCTCAACATAACCTGGAACTTGAAACATTCCTTTCAGATCACCTTCACCCATTTCTGATATTATCAAATCAAAGTCTTGGGATGGAGAACGAAGAAGAAAAACAAAGTTAGATTGCCAACCAATTATGAATGTTTCAGAAATACCCAAAAAAAATGCATGTTCTCATAACCATGAATCTAGTACTTGAAACCTGAAGAAGATTTAGATTCATACAACACCAAGAAAAAAATAACTTCACATGCTGATATGCATAAAAGAATACATGGATTAGGTTAGTCTCCTTTTCCTTTTCAGGATAATGCATGTCTCCATCCATGACAGCAAATACACAAAATTTCCGTGATGTTTAACGAAAAATAAAAAAACTGTGCATGAAACGCGGGACTTTTAGGATAAATGTGAGACCTGTACCAATTATCAAAGCTTACATGTAAAATTAATAAAGATGATTTATATATTATAAGGTTTTTAACCGTCGTTAAAATTAAAGAATTATCACATATTTCATTAAAATATATTTAAAAATAATAAATCAATATAACAGATATTCATGGATATTGTTAATGATTATTAAAATATTATTTAATAAAAAATATTTAATGTATTATTTTTACTAAATTTAAGAAAGACAATATTAGTTTAATATTATTTCAAATATTATTTCAACGAGTGTTATTAGATATTAATTAACATTTTTTTATAATAAATAGTCAGACATGTGGTAATATTCTAGTTCTCTCATGAAGTTTAAAAATTTTGTTTAAAAAATTTAATAGTGTATAAATAATAATCCCGATCAATATTTTCATCCACCAATAATTGAAGATGAAGATACACATGTTGTTTCTTGGCATGGGATGGAGGAAATTTCCATGCATTTACATGTGGCTTAGGTTTTTTCTTTTTTTTTTTTTTTGTTTTGTTTTAAATGATAGCCCTTATCCATAGATTCGACGTTATCTGCTCCTACAGATGGTTTTTAATGCCTTGACCTAGAATTTGTACTAAGAATTAATGAGGATAAGCACGTTGTCTTTCCCTCACCGACTCACCTTCTGACAAAGACCAAATTAATTTTTTTTTCTTTAATTTATATGTATTATTATTGCAATTTCTATTGTCAATAATAATTTTGTTCTTCTAGAATTATAACGATAGGAGTTGGATGAGATTTAATTAGATTTTTTTAAATATTATATAATATTATAAATTTTTTTAAAATTAATTTGAATTTGAATTAAATTTTTATATAATTTAAATTAAATTGAATTAAATTTTATTAATTTAATTCAATTTATTATTTTTAATTTTATTAATTTTTATATATTATTTAATATATTTAAATAAATTTTAATATAAAATTATTAATTTTATTTTATATAAATTTAAGAAATATATAAAAATTAAAAAAATATAAATTATTTTCATTGGATTTTTTTAATTTAAAATTTAATTTCAATTTAATTATATATTTAATATTTAAATTTGATTTAAATCGGATAAAAAAATTTAATTTAAACCAAATATTATATTTTTAAATCAATTTGTTGTTTTTCTAATTTTTTTCTCACCATTACTCCTAGAGACATTATTTTGTTGGATTTAAAATTTGTTCTAAAATTAACATTAAATTATGGATCACCTTAAATAAATAAAAAAATTTACACAAGCTTAATTATATGAATATAAATCTTACATGATTTGAGATACACTTATGAGATGCACATAACAGAAATAAAGTGAACATTGAATCATATAATTATTCCTTTCTTATAAGGTTTCATATTTCAGTATGCTCCTATATGCCTTTTTTTTTTCTTTTCCTCGTGTCAGCTTTTCTAAGAGAGGTTACCTTCCTACAAGGAGAAAAGTAGGTAGAAAGTAATTATACAGTGGAGACCAATACTTTCATTTAAGTATTAAATTGAGAATAATTTGTATAATTTTTAAATTTTATTCAGTATATATATATTTTTTTGAACTGTTCAAGCAAATTTATTTGTGTTTTACATAATGAATTCATAAAAAAATTATTAATCTCGGCGCCAATTTAAATTCAAACAACTAAAAGATCAGTTGATATTGACCTTATATTTCAAAAGGATGACCTTATATACGTATATAAATACATACATATATATATTTATATATTTATATATAACTTGGGTCCAAGTTCAACCTGAAGCATCCAAGCCATCGGCTGCCATCAAAACAGTCGTTCATAAATGGTATTTCCCATCCATAGTGGAAATTTGATGATTTTTTTTTAATAATTTGGTTAATGAAAGCAAGAGTTGGAGGTTTCTCCTGATTCTCATGCTTACAACCGCAGATAGATGGGCATTATCCATCACTACCATACATACAAAGAGAGACTGGAACTCTAATTTTGACCCCTAACAATCCATAAATCAATTCTCCATCGACAAAATGAAAAACTTTACTGCTTTCTTTAAATGTGGAAGATGATTATCAACTCCAAAATGAAAAATTTCCACCATATGATATTATAATCCAAGGAACATTTTAGTACTTCAAAAAAAAAAAAAATGGCGAACTTTACTGGAGTCAAAGCAACAGGGAGAATGAATAAACATAAATTAGGGGAACAAGGGAATGGGGGAAAAAACCCCACTAAACAAAAAACTATTTTGTGTCTTCACATGATTATTATCATCACCGACTCCAAAAACTTCAATGCCAGTTTATGGCCATGGAAGAAAGATGCAACCCCAAAACCAATAAGTAAAACGGGAAATTAACAAGCGGGGGATGAGGCTTACAGACCCTGATCAATAAGGTAATCACCCAACCTCTCAACAACCATGTTACACTGTCCCGGATCACGGGTTCATCATATATGCCGAAAACCATAGCTTGGTTTGTTTTCTTCACGGTTATGCCACCAGCACCCTGCCAAATAAATGACAACAATTAGAAAGAGGAATTTTCTTTAGCTCTCACCAGTCACCACTGTGGTTGAACTCTAACTTGGAAAAGTTCAATGCCATCAACAGGCGCTAATAATTTGTTTCTACCAAACAAGTAATTGGAATCAACATTCCTCAACTCCAAAATGTTGTTAGCAAGCATTAACAAAGTATAATTCACACTTAAAAAAGATAAATGAAAGAGTTCATAAATATAAGAAACCACAAGCCACAATGGAATTTCACATCGTTTACTTCTTAAACAGATAATATTCCGCAACTATCTTTCACAATTATACGAAACAAGTTAATTTAAAAATCAGTCTGAACTGCAACTTAGGGATAGCTTCTACTCAACCGATAGTCCTTGTCATCTTGCTTGCACTCAGCAATTCTAATAAAAAAAGGCACTTAAAAAAGCAGTAACAGCTAGTTGCACATTTCTGTGTAGTCAAATAAGATAATAATGGATGTCCTGATGATTGATGGCAACCAAATCAGATGGGACACTTTGGATTAGACTTAATAAAACACAATCATAGCATAGTTGGGTATCTGTTATATACTCATACAAGGTAATGATAAATGCCCAAATTCATTTGATAAGTGAAAATGCTTTAGGAATAAACTTTCTAAAAAGTAGAGCTAAAAACAATTAGTCATCCATGTGTTTTGGCTGTTTAGAGACCAAGAAATTGTTAATGAAAGGGACTAGCATATCAAGGCTGGATGAAATTGTTGAATTCTGGACAAGGCCCCACATATGAGAACCATGGGGCTCTAACATTATTACATGCCATTTCCTAAGGTCCATAACATCAGCATTACCGATTACTAAAGGGGAAAATTCGGAGAAAGTTACCATCTTGTATGCATCAAACAAGCAATTAATTTAGTATTGAATCTTATTTCCTTTACGCAAAAGGAAGGTGAGTATATAATAGCAAAGGCCTCTCTCTCTCTCTCTCTTGCATGATATTTTGAATGCAAGTTTTTAGGGAGAATAATGCCATGTTATCCAATTCTTTTAATCAATGTTTGGATAGACATTAGTAAAGAAAAAAAATGAAAAGTAAAGGAAAGGAAAGGTTTTTTAAAAAGATACATGTAACCTTTACGTGGATAGTTAAAATTAATAAAAAAAAAAATTCCAACAATCATTATTTAATTAAAAAGTGAAAAGAAAAAGAAAAAATCATTCTAATATTCTTTTTTCAATTAGAACCTTCTTTTATAAAATAACAAACAATGTCAAACTAAACATTTTGTAAATATGTGTTCAACTGCACATAATGACAGTGATGTAAATAAACACAAACTTCAGGGGCATTTACACAGTGTCTGGTCAGAAACCTATGAGTGCTACAGGAGCCAGGACAAGAAGGTATTTCTCTTTGTAGAGTTTACAAGCACCATTTAAAGAGGAATGCATTCAATCTCTTCTCCAAATTGTAGGTAAACTTGTAAGCTTAATGCACATTAAAGATAGATCAATTCAATAGAATCAGTGCTAAACAAGATTATGAAGAAAGCAATAAATCACCTTCTTCCCACGAATCACAGCCCCGGCCTCTCCCTGGATTACCATGTACTTAAGGCCACCAAGAAGCAGCCCAGTTGGTGCAAGGGACCCAGGTTAATCAAAATCTTTCATGACGGCAGTAGTCTCTTCAGGCTTGAACTGCAAATAAACCCCCCCAGAAAGGAAAAATCCCAAACCAATAAGAAAAGTAATGATACCATGAGAATATATTTATACCATCTAGGCCAATCATTAATTTCGCTGAATAGTGACTTTTATACTCGAAACTCATGATTATGATAATGACTCCTCAAGATAACGTGATAATTTCCACAAATTCGAGTCTGAATGACGAAATAGATCAAAAATATTTCATCACTTTTCTAGGCTTATAAACATTTTTTATACATGAAATCTAGCAAAAATGCTAATCATTGAAAATCATATCCAAACATAGCATATATAATTCATAAGCAATAAAATTCAACTTTTTCATTTATAAATTTACATTGGATAATCACATTATCTAATCAATCTAATAAGATCAATCAATTGTGAGTATTAAAATGGATTAATCAACAATTAAACAACCAGATGCATGTGGATTAATTAACAAAATCATCAATCCAAAACAAACAGATCCAAACAAAAGAAGAAAATTCTTAAGAGAAAAAGAGAGACAATACTACCATAGGAAAAGAGGAGCTCTTGGCCCAAACACTCCCATCGTGGCCAATGATAGCAGCGGAGGTCAAAGTATGGCCGTCGCCGACATCACACATCAGGTGTTCATCAACGTAAGTTTGCCATAACATTTTTCTCTGATCAATCAATCACCGTCGATTCTAATTAATTTTTTAACAATTTTCTTTATCGTTGATTTTTTTTTTCTTTACTGTTTTCTTCAAAATGAGAGAATTTCTCTGCTGGTTCGGACAAAACAGGTTTCTAAAGGGAAGGCCGAAGGGGTATGAAT